TGATTGGTTTAGAATTCGGTTTCAGGACGAACTTCCTTTCCAAGATACTAATTCTCTTAATCATATATGCAGGCTATGACAATTGCATCTATCTGACTGCTAGAGGGTAAGCTTATATTCCGAAGAATCTCATGTAGTGAATATATTTTTTCATTGCCTTCATTTCGCTCCCGTTTTCCCATGTTACGATATGGCTATTGTCCACTGGATCCCACGTTAAATGTACTAAAGTTGTTATTATGATTACCAGGATCAACAAAACCGCAGCTGGTAACACGACTGGCTTTGCTAATGCATCACGGTCAGCACATGCCGAGTGCTCATGGATTCCTGGTTTCTTTCTGATGACATTAATCTCATTTATGTTCAACCGGGGCAATGTGTTTGATGCATCATTCTGAAAAACAGTTGAGGATGTTTATTTTATTTTTTCTAGGGATGATTAAATGGTGTAAGAAGATAATGTAAATGCTGTCCATTGCTACTTTGAATGTACATTTATCAGAAGTCTTTCCATTTATAATAGGATGGATGTGATTATAAAGTAATATTATGTTCATAATATTTTTTAATCATTGATTATATACACATCCTACGAACGCAATTGTTCGAACTTGAGACTTAAGGGTCAAATGACTTAAGAGAGAAAAACACTCCTTGTAACCATTGAGGCCACTTGAGTGAACTCTTAAAAATGTTCCCATGATTGTAAATGCTAGTAATGTCATACTTTTTTTTGGGTATAGAAAAGCCAATAAGAATCACAACAAATAAGTCCACACCGAAGAGAATCAATAACCCTGATCGTTGAGATAATCGCCGAGCCTCTCAACAACCACGTTGCACTGGCCGGGAGTCATTGGCTCATCATAGATTCCAATGATCAAGGCCATGTTGATCTTTTTAACAGTAACACCTCCAGTTCCCTGAAACTAAAATGTCAATAACCTTGGAATACAACCATGACAGAGTAAACAAAATTTCTGCGACAGGATACCGAGGATTGTATATCACAAACACACTCCCCTAAGAAATATCTGAGCAGGGAGGCTTGAAATAACAGATGTATACAAAAAACGTAACATCAAAAACAAGTGCATATCGAGTAGGCATGAAAGTTCAGAATCAACGTTCCTTATTTGGGTAGCTAATCTGGAATATATCACTATATAATAAGCTTAAGTGCTGCATAAGTTTGAAAGCGAAGTTTCGGGTTTTCACCAATAATGGTTCAGGAAATATGGAATGTTCATTTTATAATTTTTATCATATCAAAGATTGAACCAAAATTACAATCCGAACAAAATGTAAAAACATAAAGACGATTTCCATTTAGCAGAGTGTAAAAGACTGCATGTGCAAATAGTTTTTTCAGTGTAATAACAAGTGAAACCAATAACAGCTAGAGAGCAGAGCATCACCTTCTTCCCTCGAATAACAGCTCCGGGTTCACCTTGGATCACCATGTATTTGGTGCCACCGAGCTACAATCCGGTTGGAGCAAGTGATCCAGGTTCATCAAAGTCCTTCATGATGGCACTAATTTCTTCGGGCTTGAACTGATATAAACATAAATCCGAGAAGCAATAAGCAAATCCTTGATCAGAAAAAGAGAGCAAAAAACATAAGATCCAGGTGTTTAAACCAGTAAACCAGCTTTAAAACTGAAACAAACAGTAGGAGTCGTAGTCAAAACATTTCACCCTTTAATAACATCTATTATCACCATCTATAAAGTTGAGGTAATCTCTGCAGATCCATTAGCATATCTTCATTTCATTTGATTCAAACACTAAAAAAACATAAACGAACCCACAATTAATACAGATTTCCCAAGCATGAAAGGGCAAAATCTGTTAATAATTCATTCAAATAAACAAATAAACCATACCAAAAATCCCAAATTTGAAGAACATAAAAAAGCACTAAATTTAAGTCCATCAAGAGTGAACCAATCCTTTAGAAGCAAATCAGATCAACCAAAAAACCATGCAAAAGATAAATCAATGATAAGACTCAGATCCCAAACTCAAAGCAGAATCAATCTTTTTTACTCGGAAATCTAAGCAAAGAAAGATAAAAAGCTAACAAAAAATAGAAGGGGGGAAAAAGGAGGAAGAGTTGAAAAAAAAAACCTGAGGGAAACCGTCGCTCTGGGCCCAAACGCTACCGTCATGGCCGATGATGGCGGCGGCGGAAAGATGGTTTCCTTCGATTTCGCACATCAAGTGATCATCTACGTACGCTTGCCACGACATCTTCTTCTTCCTTGTGTAGCTGTTTCAAAGGGGAAAAGTAAGTTTGACCGAGGAGGCACGATTAAGCTGACGCACAAATATTGCGTTGAAGTTGAAACAGCGAGATCTGCGACACCCTTTTCTTTTTCTTTGGGTTTGGTCTACACTCAATTCGGATCGGGTCGGTTCGAGAGTAATAACCTGTTTTATTATTTAAAGGGTAAAGTACAAAAATGTCCCGATTATATAATGTTAAATCTCCTACTATTAAAAGCTACAAATGATCATTTAATTATAAGACATTACTTTGTTGAATCCTCAAACTATTAAAAGTTAAGAAATAGTCACTTGATTATTCATATGTTTCAAACTCATCATTTTTCGTTAAAAATTTGACGACAGTCTGAGATGAACGTTAATCTGCTGACTGAGATATGCTAAAATCTTATATCAGAATCTCAAACGACTATCATATCTCATGCAATATGTTAATGTCAAACTTAAACGACTATAAATTTTTTTTACCGAAAAAGGATGAATTTGGAACATATGAATAGTCAGGTGACCATTTTATAACTTTTAATAGTTGAGGGACTCAACAAAATAATACCGTATAGTCAAAGGATCATTTTGTAACTTTTAAAAGTTACTAGACTCAATAAAGCAACACCCTATAATTGGTGGACCAATTATGTACTTTACCCTATTTTAAAATATTAAAAAATATATATTTAAAATTAAATAATATAATTATTAAATAATAATTTGAAGCACACATATAATATTAGATAGACGACAGTAACATTTAAGAATTAGTTTAATATAACATGCGTTTCGCCGTTTCCTGTGATTTTACGTGTTTGCTTTTTAATTTATTAAAAATATGTACTTCATATAATTTATATAATATTAAAAATGATTAAAATTTAGTAATTATCAGTTTAATAAAAAATAATTTTATAATACTGAAATAACAATTAAAGTATAATTTTCTATTTAATAATTCAAATCATATTATTATTTAACATGCATACAAAGTGTAAGTTTATATTTACTAAAAATATTTTTCTAATATTCAAAATTTAACTAAAAATTTAACGTTAATTTATAATCATGACAAATAATAATAATAATAAAAATATTATTGGCATTTGATTTTTTTACTCACTTTTAAGAAAAATTATACTTTTAAAGGTACTATTTATTTTTTTGATTTTATCAATTATAACCCATAATGTGTTTAAAATTTTATAAAAAAATAATTAAAAATATATATGTGACGTATCCTTAATTTTTTTCAAAAAAAAATCTGCATATGAAGTCTACTTATATGGCATGACATATAATATTTTATAAAAACATTATAAGAATGGAATATTATAATTGAAATTAAGTGGAACCATACTATATAATCCTCCTTATTATTGAGTTTTTGTTACAAATACAAATTCAACTTTTTTGGCATATTTTTGGTTTTTATAAAACGAAAATAAATATATATTTGATAAATCTAAGGTGAATATGAGGTAATATATATTTGGATTTAGAACCTTAAAAAGTAAGAATAAATCTCTTAATCATTGATATTGTTTGGTTAGTGTGAATAGGTTTATATATTGATTAGCTATTGAAGGGTAGATGATCCAAAATTAGCTGGGGGCAAAAGGGCACTCGCCCAGGACCCACTTATTCAGGGATTAAAATTATAAATTTATATATAATTAAAAAGAATAAATTATTTATTTAGTCACTCAATCATTATTCTATTCCTGTTTTGCTCATCCAATTATTATTTTTCTTCGAAATCATACTAAACGTTATATTTTTTTGTTACACATCATTAAAAAAATTAACAACGATACTAAAGTGAGATTTTTAAATTATTTTTTCACTTTGCACTTAATTATTCTTTAATTATTTTTTTATAATACTTGTTATTAAGAGCCTAATTTCTACATTCGTCTCATCCCACTAAAATCTCATAAATGGACCGGATTATAATATCTTGAAACAAAAGTGCGATAGCTCATACTTCTACATACGTGATATTTGAATCCAAGGCTTTAAAAAATAACAATAAATCTCCTACTCATTAAGATTATTTAGTTCGTACAAATAAATTTATATATTAATTAGCTATTAAAGGGTAGATAATCCAACTTCTACACCTTTCTTTCCCTATTATAATATCCTTAAACAAAACGTATAAATATGCAAATAATGTTCGATAATCAACTGACGAATATGCAACAACATTAGATGCAAAATTTAAATACAATGAATTAAGGTAGAGTAAATTTATTTGAGTAGCAAACAAGAGAAATAAATATTCATCTCAATTGAATTAATGGAAGGATTGTAACAGTTAAAGAGAATGTTGTTTTTCTTTAAGATCTTAAATTCAAGTAATTATATCTGATGTGTGCGTTATCCAATTAATTATTAAATTTTCTTTACTAGTGATTTTTTTCTACTTTTCTACTTGAGTGATTTTACCCAACTAATTATATATCAGAGGAACACTTCTTAAAACGCTCTCCAGCGTAAGTTTCCTTTTGTATATAACATATAAACGATGCTATATCTAAGACTTTTAGTAGTTTATAAAAATAATCATGTGAAGCTAAAATGCATATATATTATTATAAATTCAATACAAAAACGATACATTCACAGATTTCAAAATTTCCTGTTATTCATCAAAAGAGACATGAGAATCGGCCAACAAAACAATAGATTTAAAGATCCGGAAGGTAGGGTTTTTCAGAGTCCTTGATCAGCAAGATAATCACCCAACCTCTCAACAACTAAGTTGCATTGTCCTGGGGTTACCGGCTCTTCGTACACACCAAATATAAGAGCCTGTCCTGTTTTCTTTATAGTCACTCCTCCTGCTCCCTGCCATGACATACATCCACAGCTTTAGGCATGTAAAAGAATTGAATCGAACAAACACAAATGATTATATATTTATATTCGTTTGTTTAAATTTAAATGAATAGATACGAACAATTAAGTAAAAAAAATAGTTCGTGTTCGTTAAGGATTATAGTTTGTTCATGATGCTCATTAAAATAATAAAACAATCATAAACAAACGTATATGGATACAAACGAACATAAATTTAAATGATTTAAGATTTTTTTCAATCTATCCTGAAATGAAAGGGACAATGAGCTACTGGGTAAGAAATACATATGTGAATAAATTTAAACGAACATATTACTGGATGTTCACAAACATAAATGAACGAACGAAACATTTATTCATATTGAATCATTTAAACGAACATTTCATTCATTTAATAAATAAACGGTTCACAATCAATTTGCAGCTCGATTCATTTCCAGCGCTACACATCTTCCCATTTGCATAGCAGTAAAAAAATGTAGGTGTAATGAAATAATGGAATGGATAACCTTTTTGCCTCGGATGACAACACCAGGCTCACCCTGGATGACCATATACTTTGTACCAGCAAGGTGTAAGCCTTTAGGTGCAAGATGGCCTGGTTCATCAAAATCTTTCATGATGTCACTGATCTCACTACCACTTAACTGCAAAAATAAGAAAAAAGAGGAATTAAATCAAACACCCATCACACAACCGAATGACGACCAGAATTAGTATGATATAGGACCTGAGGGAAGGCTGAGCTCTTAGCCCAGACACTGCCATCATGGCCGATGATAGCGGCGGCTGTTAGGTGCTGGCCTGTGCCTTCGATGTCACACATCAGGTGCTCATCGACGTAAGTTTGCCACGACATTCTCACTTACTTTGATTGGATTGTGATTCTATTCGGGGTTTTGCATGAGATGTTGGGAGATTGAAGTTGGATAAAAAGGGCAAAGGTTAAAGGGTGAGAGGGATCTGATAAATAGGGAAGTGGGGGTTTGAAAGCCTAAAATGAGGGGTTTTGGACCTTTTAATTTGAACTGCCATTCACGTCCCCATTATTTTCGTAACCATTTCCCCATGACCCTCTCTCTCTCTCTCTTTCCCCCCAACTTAAGTTTGTGGATTTTAAACAAAATTACTAGGTTACTATAAGGCATGTATGTATATGTGTCAATAATAATTATTTAAAATAAAAATATGATTTGTAAATATAAGATTCTAAAAGATAAAAATATATTATATTCACCCGGTCTAAGTACACAAACGAGAAAATACATAGTTTTAACATTTAATTGTATTTACCTTCTATCTTCATCATTCTATTCATTTTTGCTTTTAAACACAAGCAACTCCCCAGATTTGTTGTTGAATGAATAGCATTATTATATTCTTCCGATAAAATTAGATTGTACCATTGAATTAGGAAGACCTTGAGATGGAATGTCAGTTTTCAATGTAGTAAGAACCGGAAGTGAAAGTCATCTTTCTTGGTTGATGAAGAAATAACTACAAATCTTCAAAGATCTTTTCAAGAGGTTGTTAAATCTTTTAACGAATTAAGCCTTGATACCAGTTGTTAGCTGTGATCAATCTAAATATGCTAAGAGGGTGTGAATTATCTCTTAAAAAACTTATGATAAGAATAATCTAAAAATAAAATAATTTTACACAACGACTCAGAGTGATTCATATTCTAATTTAAGCCTATATCTATTACCTTAGTTGTACACACTAAGAATTTCTCAAATTTACTAGATTTTATTACCTTTAAAGATAAGATGCAATCTTATAAGCTCTCTCCTAAAATTAAACTCACTAGATAAATGTGTTTGTATAACATTAAGCTCTCATTCGAAGAACACTTGAGCAATATTGACAATAAATAAAGCTCATAAGTGTTTTTACAATGAAAATTACAATAATTAAATTAAGTTTTAGAAAATTCTATGATCTCAGTATATTCTTTCAATATTATTTCTTCTTGTTATTAAGATGATTTGAGCTTATTTTTATATCATCTTTATAATTACTAGTTGTTACATAAGAGCGATATAAAGTATTTATGGTACGAGTGATCGATCTTTCTATGAAAGAGATCGGCCCGTTTTAAAAATTTTGATCATTGCCAACCAATGGATTGATCTTTCAAGGGAAGAGAATGATCATTTTTGTTATCCTCAAGAAGGGATCAATTCTTTCGATAAGGTATCAATCCTTTTAGCCATACATTCAAAAAAAAAACTTAACTCATATTTAAAATATATTTTTCAAGTTTATTTGAACTTTGAATTATTTTTATTTATTTAAGTCCAAAATCATTTTATCAATATTTGTTATATTAAAAATGTAAGTTCATTACAAAGAAAATATAATGAGTTTTTAGTGAGAATTTAAAGAAGTTTGAGTAAGTTTTCCAATTTATTAAATGGCAAAGGAGTATTGTGAAGGACTCTTATAAATGACTTGCATACTTTAATATAGCAGGAATTGATGCATTATGATTGATATGTAGAGTATGCTGCTCATACATGATGTAGATGCATTTATATATATGGAATCGTAGTTCGATGAAAGAGTAGAAAAATATCTTCTTAATGATATTGTATGATTTGTGAAAATAGAACATATCTATGGGCCATTCATCAATGTTAAATTGTTTAATTATTATTTTAAAAATAATCACTCTTATCATATAATTTACAATAAAATGTCAAGACAAAAGTGATCCAACCAGATGAATGAACAAAATCTAAAGGGATGAAAACTTTTATGTGTGTGTGAGTTAAATCATAATATTATAGCAGAATATTTTTTTGACTTAAATAATAGAGGCGTTATTAATTGACAAAAAAAATTAAATTAAATTACATAATATTTTAGCCTATACCATGTAATAAGCTTAAATGGTCCTTGTTTAACTCACTATAACTCGGGAATGAAATGCATTTTAAAGAATGAAGGCAAGCATAATTTATTTATTTTTATTAATTTATGGTGTTTAGAAGTGATAGTATCTTTGACAAGTAGCATTTAAATATCCTGCAATCTTTGGTATTTGAATTTGAGACCTATATAAATAACAATCATTCATTTAACTACTAACGTAATTTAATTTGTGCGCAAGTATAACTTATAAATGAGAAATACATTGTGGAAAGGTTTTTTTTTGGGTACATAAAAATTTAAGTCAGGGGTGGCTCCTCAGTTCAGGGTCATGTCATATCTAATATCCAATTAAGATTAACATAGGAATTTACAGATTATTCACCAAGATTAACAGTACTAAAATTCGAACTTAACCTTATAAACTCAAATTCATGTATCTCAACCACTTGCCAACACTCATTAACATTGTGGAAAGTTATTTAATTAAAAATCATTTAAAATTTAATTTAATAATTTTATCTTATTACTAATTAAGTCTAAAATAGAGAAAATTCTAGAATAAATATAACACATCGAAATACATTATTAATACAACACACTAACATTACAATTAATGAATTGTTCTTAGAATTGTATTAGAATTAAATGTAAACTACACATATGAACCCTGTTGATTTTAGTTTGTTCAATTTTGGTCATCAATTTTAAAAAAAGTTTAGTTTTGGTTACTTATATTTTTGGGTTATAACATTTTGGATTACAGGGGAAAAAAAATTTTCGACTCGACTCGACTAAAAAAATTCAACTCAAATTGATTTCAAGCTATAATTTTATAAACTCGACTTGAAAAAATTTGAAGTTCAAATCGTGTTATAAAATACAACTAGAATAACTCGAATAGTAACTTGAATAACTCAAAATTTTGAGTAATTAGTGGATTGATTTTCAAGTTTGAGCCGAGTGCCTCGACTCTGTATGATATATCACATATAAAAAAATATGAAGATATATATATATATATATATATATATATATATATGTAATGTATACAATTATAAAAAACCATTTAAATTAGAATAAAATAATATCAAAATATTATAAATATGTACAATTAAATTTTAATAGAAACTCGACTCGAATATAAAAATTTTTAAATCAAATTTGAGTTATAAAACAAGACTCATCAACTCAAATAACTCAATTTTTTTTTGACTCGACTCGATTGCTCAACCTGATAAGTTGGTAGAGAATATCTACCAAGTCTAACGTATAAACTAAAGAAAGGGTACAGTTTAGGGCCTTGCACAGAATTAACCCATAAGTTGATATATCGAATTTTATTATGTTTTTCGTTAGGGTTTCTTTCTTTTTAAGTTTCCGACTTCATTTGGAAGTTCGCCCTCAAGCCCTGGGCAGATCGGTTGGGTGTTTCCCTGTTCTATTCCGGTCACGATAACGGCGTTTACAGTTTCCTTTTTCTCCGGTAGTTTCCTTCATCGCATCGAAGCCACTCTCTGCAGCAAATATTCACCGAAAATTATAGGCTTAGGGTTTTCTTTTAAAAAGATCTCTTCCAGAAGTATTTGGAATTAATGATGGACACCAAAGCATTGGCGAAATCAAAGAGAGCTCATTCTCAACACCATAGTAAAAAACCTCATTCGATTAAAAAGTCAAACCCTCCATCATCAGCCGGTGTTAACGACCCTGCGAATTCGAAAAAGCAGAAATTCAAACAAATCACAGAGAAAACTCTGCAGGCGCAGCGTATATCTGCATTACCATCGAATCGGAATCGTTACGAGGAAGAATTTGATTCAGGTTCTGAAGATCTAAGTCAAGATCCCGATATTATTGTGCCCAAGAGTAAAGGAGCGGACTTCCGTCACCTGATTGCTGAGGCTCAATCTCAATCCCACTCAAATCCTCATTCAGATAACCTATCTTCTTTAGATGAAATACTTCCCGGTACTTATATTAGATTTGTTCTATCAATTTTCTATTTTATGGAAGTTCTTTTTAATAATTATGTATTTTTTAAAACATTTTTCATAGTGATGTTCAATGTCTTTTTGCATTTTTCAGGAGATTTCAATCAATTTGTAGGTTCTATGCTTGCAGTCAGGGGAGAGGGTATTTTGTCATGGACTGGTAATGATAACTTTTTGGTAGATGACGGTACAAATGCAAATCCTGAGGTAGTTGCTTTTAGTTTATTATTTTCTTTGTTGTTTTCAGAGTTAGAAATTACAAATCTATAATCACAGAAGATTTTGTGTCTGGAATTGGAATTTATTTTGGAAAGTATTTATGGCTATCTTAATTGTGATCCATCACCTGCCCCCCCCCCCCCCCCCCCCCCCCCCCGCGGTTTCAGAGTTGAACTCCTCACCTGTTAAACGTCACCTCTCACCTCTTAAACATGATTATATAAAATAACTTAGCTAAATTCCGGGTTCACTACTGCCCATATATACATATTATATATGTATGTATATTTGGCACTAAAAGTGCAAGGAAAACATGTTCGATAGGTGTGTATATTTGATACTAGTGAAAGATATGTCATCTTAATTAGGAAGTTATAAACATGTACCCTTTGCTAATTGTCAACTCCACATAGAATGTATTTCAGTAATTAGTATCCATGTCAAAGTTTTAGTACTCGTTTAAAGCTATTTTTTAAATAGGCTATGGGCATAGAAGTTTATGACGTCAAAAGTCCGAAGAAAATTGAAATACACTTCAATAATATAACTATAGGAGTGTGAAACCGGTGGTTAGTTATCTGTTTCCATTTTCTTTATAAAGACCTTTTACTGCCAGCCATTGGCCTTGCATCAAATGCCTTAGCTTTTATTTATCTTTTCACCCCCTTTTCCTTGTGTTTTCTCGTGTAGGCCTCGTTTCTCTCCCTTAATTTGCATGCTCTTGCTGAACAACTTGAAAAAGTAGATTTATCCGAGAGGCTTTTCATTGAAGAAGATCTATTACCACCAAATCTGGTATGTGCAATTCTCCTTCATTGATGTTCACGTTACTGTTGATTCATATCCATACTTCAATGCCTCGAGGATGAGGAAACTGCAATTCTGGACAGTGGACGCTAAAAGTAAAAACATGGTGTTCGAGTCTTTTACTAATAACTATAGAGATCATTATTAAGAAGCCTTAAGATATGAATAGGATTGAAGGTCTTTGGTAGTAAATGGGAGATAAAGCTTTCCCAAAAATCTTGCCATTTCGTTTTACATTTTTCGTACTGTTCTGATGCTTTTTTTTTTATATAGTTTATAGTTGAATTAAAATTCCGGTTCTTTCTCTTTTATTTTATTAATTTGACCTTCATATGTTTATAATTTAGACTTGACTACCTAATGACGTATTATCTGGTTTGTATGCCAGCGTCCTGAGAATTCAAGGCTAAACAACAATCAGGAATCACAGCAAATGCAAGCGGCATCTGATCGAAATGGGGCAGCAAAGATAACTGAAGAAATAACTCTTAACGATTTACCTGAGAAGGTCAACTTCGCTGCTAAAATTGTTGAGGATATGTCGTTTGGCACTGGCAACCAGCCCATAGATGCAATATTGTCTAACAGAGGGTTGGGTTTGATGCCTGAAGTTCAAGGTGATTCTATTTATGGTCAACATGGTGAATTCAGTGAGAGTAGAGCTCCGGACAGCCTTAATCCTACATCTGTGTCCAACAAAAAAGTGCTGACATTTGAAGCGGCACCTGTAGAGGATATGCTTCTTAATTCTTTCAGTGATACTAAAATTCTCGATACTCCCAGCTCAAGTTCCAAAAAATCCTCAAGTGAATCTCTTCCACAATATGCAAGAAAGGGTGTTGGGTCAGACAAAGTTCCACGCTTTACTTCCAGTTTTGATGGTTCACTTGATGATTTGTTACAAGATACTTCAACATCGGTAAACCGATATATTGATTCATCAAACAGTGCAGCAGTTAATTCAGCTTCTGAAGATTTACTTGATGATCTATTACAAGAAACATCCAAAATGGTAAACCCAAATGGTTTGTCTGGGAAAAAGGTTGCTTCTGAGAACAATATTCAGTCTTCATCCTCACAACCGGTCACAAAGTCAAAAGTCTTGAATGATTTTGATTCATGGTTAGATACAATTTGATGGTTTGCAATCACTCATGTAAACCTGTTGAATCAAATTTCGCTTTTCACTCTGGTAGCGTAATATAGAAAATGATTTTCAACATTCTAGCAATCATAACATAATTCAATTTCTGGGAACTACTACCAAGCATGCAATGAATTTTGTAGAAGGACCAACTTTCCACCTGCTTGAACTCCTTTCAATAGATTCTCAGCTTCAAGGGAACGGTAATCTTCCATTTGGCTTTTTTGCTCCACATGATCTTACTCAATTACAGCCAGGTTTTGTAAACTTCACAACATCAACCAGAGTTAAGTGAATATCAGCAACCAGGAAAGACCCCGAAAACCATCAAATCGCATCTGCATCTCCTGCAAATAAGCTTCCAGCATTGGTTCCAGACTCACCTGAACGTCAAACCAATTGATATTCATTCACTTCAACCATCTTTGAAGCTTGGGAAGATCTTGTGGATAATGTAGCAACCCTTACTGGAGAGATATCATACGGTAAGTGCATAATTTATATAAATTGTTGAGAGCATTTATTCTTCCACTATTTGTTCATTGTCATCTTGTTGGTTTGCAGTGAGACATCATCTTAGCCATGGTCCATTCCTTAAGGAGCCTTGGGATTGAATACATCAGGAATTTGATTTAGTAAACACTCGTGGACAAAACCCAGCCTTTAATGCTCTTTAAGAATTGATTTTTCCTTTGATTCAAACAGAAATAACATAAAAATACAAGCAACCATCCTGTAAAGCATAAACAAACAAAGTTCTATATAAATATACATCAACGGACTTCTTTCCAACCTATTAATTTCGAGGAAGGAATTTCAATTTTGTAACAACTCTAATAAGGAATCTGGATAGTCCAAATTAATATTGTATATTTATCAATTTTTAAAAGAGACGATTTTCCAAAATTCTCATAATTTCATTTCATTTAATACGCATAATCTTAATTTTCCATGCATTTAAACAGAAAGAGTAAAATTATACAGGCTAGGTGCCATTCATTAAAAGAGTAAACAAAGTTTTTTCAGTTATAGAGTAGCACGTGATAGTTAAGTGTCATAAGTCTGGCTTGCCTAAAAGTAAACAAAGTAATCTCATAAGTCTTGACATAAATAGACCAAAGCAATTTCCAGTCAAACTTTGTGCTCCAAGTCCAACAACCATTGTTGAGTTCACCTTGTGTAATAAAACAAAAGTAAAAAGAATACGCAGACCCAAATCATCGAATTAAGCAAAAAAACATGCCAACCTTATTGTTTCACTAGCTAAGGGGCACACAATTTATTTTTCAAAATGGCACAACCTTAACTCCTGTTCAACCATATCCCGCGAAAAATAGCTCTGTCGGGAAACAGAGGAAATACCCGAGTTTGACTGAACTAACCAGTTTCATTGTCCCTTGAATTTGCTGCTAACGTAATCATATCTTGGGACGTTAATGACTGCAAAACACGTGCAAAACCATCGAATTAATCTTTTTAAATGGCATTCTAATAAAACAAATGAAATCCAGTGTTTTTAAAGTAAATTAAACAGAGAACTACCATTCCCATACGATGCCATTGTGAGATTAGAAGATAGAAGCTTTTGGGCTACTGAAGAAATATCCTTGGGTGTAATTTCATCAACGATCTTCAAGAAATGCACCACAGGCTTCGTGATAAATTCAAGACAATTTGGTTACACGAAATATCATAATAGTTTACGCATAAACTTTAATATGAAAAGCAAGCAGTAATACACATAGATGTCGATGAGAAGCAACTAATTAGCAGTGTCATTGTCGATCACGGAAATGGTAAAAAGCTGAGAATCTTATAAATAGTCATACCTCTCACCATATGTCAAGATTTGTTTACCAATATCTTCTGAAGCAACCGCCAGCAGAAAACACCTCGCGGGTAAACAGCAAAACTTGACAGGAGAATATGAATCCTAGGTGAGCAAAATTGAATTTGACTATAATAAAAAAACTAAAGAGATCGGTTTACATACTCTGGATTCCAAATTCATCAAAATGGCAGACTTGGTCGACCGTTTAGCGCGGTCCAGTTCTTTCTGCTCAACTGTAAAGAAAACAGTAAAAAGTATTTCAGTAACAGGCAATATCGAGTGGGTGTTGTAGAAAATACCAAGTAATTTCCAGAATAAAGAGCTGCTACCCTTTTCCAGGTGTTGCAACAGCAATAAGCTCCTTGACAGCTACATCGATAGCAGATGGTACAAAATCAGAACTCTGGGTCCAGAAACATCAGTGTCATAAAGATTAGTACTACCAGCAAACAGTATCTGTACAGTTGGAAATCTATAATCAATTTAGTTAAAAGTCCAAGAAAAGAGACTCGAGGGAACAGATGAGTAACAATATAGAACAATTGGTTAAGCAAAGAAAACATTCAAATGCAGGTCATTGTGGCCTTTTTAACCAAGCCTATTACTAGCATTTAACAAACAGGTGTCTTGCAAGAAAATCAACTATCAATGATTTAGTTGTGAAAGTCCCTAACGTTAACTTACATGGAAGTTGCCGATTTCACTTGGCTGTAATTGCAAATCGCTAGCATTTGATATCATTTAACTGGTATGATTTACAAGCTTTACCATCCAAAAGGTTTCCTAATTCAATCTACCAAAAGAAATATAAACTCCAGAACACACTATCCCTAACACCATCCGTAACACCATCAAATTTGATCTGTTATTCTATAGTTTTGGCCAAGCCTGTGGCTGCAACATCTCTAGTGCCAGAAGAAATAGCAAAATGAGACAAAAAGAAAGAAGAGTAACAGTGGAGATAAAAAGGAAAAAAAAGGTATCTCTCCCCAGCAAAAAAAGGATGCCCAAAAATCCGTGCAGAACAATGTGAAAATCAATAAAAGAAAGTTCTCTACTTGAGCTTTTGCTACACAAAGACATATTGCAGCGGGGAAGATAGAAGAAGTAATAGAGAACTATACAAGAATTAGTAATGAAAGGTTCAAAAGCAGACTTATAATTGTAGCTTGTATCCCAAATAAGTCGTATGGTTGTAAATGTTGTTGAATGGTGAAAATGACTGAACTTGTGAATACTGATTCAAGATGCGAAGATCTGCTCTAACCAAAACACTTTCAAGCTGAATTATACAGATTGGCTAAACTATTTAAAAAAATTAGATGTCGAGTTGCAGAAAAAAGTTAAAAGTATTCACTAAAATAACAAAAGCTCTTTCTACCTTTGTTCTGAAACTATAAATGTCATATACTGAAAGATAAAGAGTATACAACACAATCAACTTACATAGTCTTGAATACATTCCTTTTCCAGGGCCACCGGCTGAAAATGTTCCACCTCCTCCCATTAGAATCTAGAGAACAATTAGATTTATCATTTATCAATCTTCCTATGTTGAAATCATGGTAGCAAGCAGGGAGAACAAAAAAATGCAATAAAAATCAAGCAAGCAAGATAGCAAGATCTTTTATGAACTACATCAAAAATTATAACATCGCATAACAAGGACATTGAGCAGATAAAGAAATCCAACGTTAAAACCTGAAGAACGGTTAAAATCATAGCTTCCTTCTCATTGTGCCAACCACCAGGAAGTTCAAATGCAAGAGCAAAATGAGTTAGATCCTGCAATTTATAATCATTTGAGACTCAGACTGGGAAGAAAAATAAAAGAAAAACTCACTTTCTAAGTATTTATTATGATGCATACCCCTGAATCAGCCTGGCAACGATAATCTCCTCCAGCGTACACAGAATTTGGTTCCTGAGCAAAAGGGACCTTGGGAAGGTCTGACAAAAGTGGTTCTGCAATAGATAACAATTCTTCATGTTCAACACCCGTTGCTGCCAGTACCATCCGAGAAGCAGTAAAATTTTCCTAATATTTTCATGGCAAAACAAGCTTACTAGTGAGGAGGATATACAATGTGTAATACGATACACAATTAATGGTTAAAGCATAGCAAATTAAGTTATATTAGACTCACCGCAACAAAATCCTCCAAAACTGTACTATACAATAAATTAACAGCAGATTCTGGGGCTAAAAGAGGATTTGCCAATGCAACAGAATAACCAGCTGAGTGAATGGCTTCTAAAAGCAAGCCATGCGGATTCTTTGCAGCTTCGGAAATTTCTTCTTTTACCTTCTGAAGCTGCACAAGGTCAAATACCAAATTGCAATTTCACAAGGGCATTTAATCTGAAGCTGCACAGAATTATTTAGCGCAAAAGCAGCAAGATTAAGACATTTACCTGTTCATTGACCTCCCAATCCAGGAAAGCAGGGTTTCTCACACAGTCAATAAGAAACTCTACCATTTCAGGAACATTTGTCTTCAAAGCATCAAAGGTATATCCAAATCTGCTCCCGAGAAACTGCAGCATTCACATTGCCACCAATTGCCTCTACTTCCCTCACTATACGCAAATGACTTCGGTTTGTTGTGCTTTTGAAGGCCATACGCTTAAGCAGGTGTGAGGCCCCAAATGAGGCTGGTGAGTCATAGATTGAGCCACAGTCAATATATAAGCCTATTGATGCAGCAGGGCTCTGCTCGGCAACAAAAACAATAGTCAATTCCTCAATAAACTAGAAAAATAGTTCTCTTCTTTCTAAAAGAAGAGAACTTCTATATTAAACATTCTTCACAAAAGAATACATACTGCTGAGATTTCCGAAGCAACTTTGATGCCATTTGGAAGAGTTGTAATCTTAATTTTACCAGGTTCAACATAATCAGGCAATGAAGGTGGTATGGCAACACCAGGTAGGGGAAAATCTAGTGGTGGTATGGACTTGGACTGACTTCCAGTTAGCCAGCTTAAGAGGCCGCCAGAAGAGGATGATGTTGTAGCAACAGTAGCGGAACTTGCAAACCTTCTAGGTTCTATGCATAATGTGTGACCCTATACTCGAACATTCATGCAAACATAGAACATTTCCAAGCAGTCAGACCATCAGTATGTGGAAAACTTTACCAAATGAATCATAACTCAAAAACGGCTATCTTCACAATAATAACCCTTTTGAAGTTGACATCCCAAACTTGTTTTAAAAAATTTC